ATTAAGGCCCCTACATTAGGTTGTAGTGCTTGGGATGTTCACCAAGCGCCTTGTCCAGTCTCAGCTTACTTTTGTTCTGTGGCAGGGGCAGCAGAGAAAGAGGAGAAGCCACCAGATCTTGCAGAAACGAGGAGGCGCAGCCGTCTTGCGCCAGCTGGCCAGAATTTTATCACAGAGAGGAAGTGTTCCGGGTCCGAGATGCAGAAGAGTTGCCCTAAACCCTAAACCCTATAAGCCCTAAAACCAGAGACATGGTCCGAGCTCCCTTTGACCAGTCTTCGAAGCAGAAACCGCCCTGGAAGCCTTAGACTCAGATCCCGAAGCCTTCATCCCCAACTCCCGTTGCTAGAGCGATGCAAGAGCACGGCTAGCAACGGTTAAGAGTTTAGGGTTTAGGGTTTATAGGCCGGTGCCGTTGTGGCTTCAGTGTGACGCGAGTAGACAAGCCCCATTCTGGGCAGGCCGCAACAAAGAACCGAGCCAAAGGACTCTTGTGGCTTGCGAGTTTTCTGCTTCGCGAGATCTCGGAATCTGTGGTTTTGTGTTCTTCGGTGATGGCCAGACCCTTCGAAGTCCTAAGCCTTTGATGTCACAGAACTTGAGGCGATCGATTTCTTGCTATAGGCTGATAGGCTGCACGGGGTATAGGAGTTTTGGAGTTTTGCATTGGCTTTGCCATGGATAAGTCCACGTTCAGTTCACCTGCGCAGAGTAAGCTTCCAGGATGCTTTCGGCAAAGCACGACCCAAAGGAGGCAACAGGACGTGCCTTCACCACTGTTTGATCGCCGATGACGTGGTTTGAGTCTAGAGCTGCGAAGCCTCAACTGAGAATCTCACGGAACTATTTTCGGGAACTGGTGCCGACCTGTAGCATGCTCGCAGCCTCTACTCGCAGACATGCGCCTTGACGGTACCATTCAGGGCGGAGTGATGGGGGAAGGTGAGGGGATGGTCATCGATCTTGAGACCCTTTCGGATTTGGGCTGAGGGAAAGCTATGGCGTACCTTCTCTGTGTTATAAATCGGGAAAGGTTTTCATGTTCCATGCAGGGAATGCTTGGCAGCAGAAGTGTCGTTCTAAGCTTCGGGTATTGCGGACGGACAATTCAAGGTTTGTCTCGTTTAGAGTGTGCACGCTAGCTGGCATGGCAGCATGTGATGGCCTGGCCGCGATTAGCTTTTGGGGCTCAGCAGCATGTTCGCTCGCAAGTGACACAAGCAGATATCTGCCAAAGCCAGCTCATGCGACGACTCCTTACGACGCCTGTACGAAGGCAGAGCAGAAGCAAGCAGCTGCATCACACTGGCTAAAGCAGTCGATGACACGAGCAGTTCCGCATTTCCAGATCAAGACTGCGCGTGGCAGCCGATTTCAGCGTAGTATCCTCCCATTTTTGTTATCTCGGCTGCAGCATGCAGGCCAGGACTCTTCACGTGGCGGGGATGGCAGCGGGTAAACGCAAACCCTGAGAGCCAAAAGCCCAGACCCTATCCTCCACAAACGGATATTCTGAGGCAAGTTGTTTGTTATCCTACAAACCCTAAACCCTAAATACACCCTACACCCTCAGTAGGGCAGCCAGAACAAGGCAGCAAAGGGTGGAGAAGTTCCCATTTCAGGCGTTCGTGGTACCTGTGGCTGCTCCTTCCACCGCTGGGCAGGCGATTGGTATTTCAGGGTTTAGGCGATGGATTCAGTTCAGGGTTCAGGGTTTAGG